TATATTAAGCAGGAAATCTACTCGACTGTATGTTCTTCGCTAAAAACAATGCAATTTTTGACCACTTTACTTTCAAAGACAGATTTCTGATTTCTTGAGATGCGTGCACAAAGATTGTCTTCCCAAATTTATCCCCTCCCTCTTTGAGGCCGTAATCCATGGAATGCTTAGTTTTTTCGATAAACAATGAATAGCCGCAAACTTCCCCGAAAATTGTGTTTTCTATACATAGTTCGGCTAGAAGTTGTTGTGCGTGAATGGAATATGAATTTTTTTGAGGCTAATTAGGCTATTCGTGTAGGAGTACAACAGACAGTGTTAGCAGAACTGTAAGCTGTCTTGCAAGTGGAACTCAAGCAAAAGAGAGATCGATAGCAGGAGTGACTCCGTACAGGGTCCGGCGGGGGTGGCGCTTTAACAAGCTGGATATCCTTTTTGGCCCGAAAAAGCAAAGGGGATGTCGTTTCGGGACCAGAGGCGGAAACCCGGGAATTTCTTTGTAGTTTACTAAATGCGTACGTATCATGCACTAGAGTGCGTACGAAAATGTTTTGCTGTAATGTTTCACAGAGTCTGGCATGAAAAAAAAAGTCAGTTTGTGCGCCAGTAACTTTACGTAATTTTATTTTCAGTCAAAGGTTGAAACAAAAACAATACTTTGGAAATATTTGCCCTGTTGAGTAATTCACAGAGTAAATAAAGAAGAATATCAGAAGTGTTTCTAAACAGTCTATGTAGAAAACAAATCTTACTAGTTTTTCCGTCATGTTTACCAATCTTTGCGGAGAAAATCCAGAAGATCTAACATAGTAAGGAAAATTTCATGCATCTTTCAAATCTGTTCAAATTAGTTTTGAAAACTAGTTCATTTTAAAAACACTTCTTGTCGAAGCTTGCCGCTCAAATTCACGGTCGAGTCGCCTTCTAATCTGTATTGATCAGCGGCGGTCCGAGAAATATTTCGTATGAGGGGCTTGGCTTGATCTGCACCATGAAAAAATTTCTCGGAGTTAATTTGTTTGTTCAAAAACTCTAACAAATTATCACTAGTAGCAAAAAGTCAGTTGCGCAATTTTTACTCAGTCTTGTAAACTCGCCCTTCGAAGGACAGTTACAATTTTTGTTCACTGAATTTGTTGATAACGCCGCAAGGGTTTTGAAAAGTAGTTTTGCTGTAACTTGGATCCACTGCAAAGAAGTGTAAATGTAATACTTCCCACTGCTAAAACGTCAAACTCTATTCGTTTTCGAATTTGAAAATTCATTTCAAGTCTCAATATGCTGAGGACAATGACATCGCAGAAAACTAATATCAAACTTTAGTGAAGAAGTCATAGAATCCAAGATGCGCTTCGAAGAGTCTAGGCTTTGCTTCACTTTACGGATGTCTGTTGGCCTCGGAAAGTTGAAATAATAAACAAGCGAACAAGTACACAAACAGATAACGAAGGCTATCGTAGGTAAACATATGTCTTGGATATTATCCCTTCAGCTTTTCCTCGCTTTTAACGTGCTTCACTGACTTAAACTCTAGTAAAGCCCACGATTTTGTGCTCCACAGAACAAGTCGCTAGTGCGCGGGAACTTAAAACGAAGTTTTCATATGTTGAAAATAACAAATTGGGCTCGCTTGCAGCGAACAGATAACGATATGGCACCAAATTCGGTCTGTGATTGGGTGACAAGGAACACAAAAAAAGTATGAAAAATTATGAGAAACTTATGTGAATTTAAAAAATGGTAAGTGTTTTTCGAAATTAGGTGGCTCCCGCGCCACCTGGGAGCAACCTGGGGTGGCTCCCTGCTTCCCTTCACATAATTTCCATTTCTTTACATGAATGTGGACTAGGTTGAGAGTATTACTATGAGTTCAATTCCGCTTCCAAAACCACCAAGGCACCGCTTCGATATAGCCCCAAATAGGGTTCACAGCGGGCCACGCGTCATGACTCACACCGCGCACGATCGCCGCCCCGCCGCGCACGTTTTCGTCAGGACAAACGGACGAGTTTTCCGGCTGCGCGCGCTTTTCGTAAACGAATTTGAAATTGTGTTGCAATATGTCAACTACCTAGCGCTCGAATGTTGTCGTTTGTGGACATCCTTGATTCTACTTACATTGCAAATTGTTTCTTTGACTTTACTTTTTTTAAAGAGTCTCAGACCAAACTTCGATTTGTCAAGACCTACTTTCTTGGTCTTCAAAACCATATCGACGATATGACCGATAAAAGCATCGTTTTTTTTTGCGTTTTCTTTCATGAACCTTAACTATACTTTTGTTGACGCCTTTTTCATCCCACATTGGTTTTTCAGTGAACAAAAGATATTTTCATCTACTGTATTGTTTACAGGGTTGTTTTCTTTTCGTTTTCTTTGAAAACCTTATATTTACAGAAGTCTTCTTCTTCTTCTCGTCTCATAATTCGGCTAGAAGACGTCTCACAATTCGGCCAGAACGGAGGTCATGAAAGCCGAAGAAATCATGAAATTGTGAGTCTCACAAATCGTTTCAAAGATAATTTTATATGGTTTTGGATATCGAATCTATCTGTCACCCAGAATTTCTCTGTTCAACTTTTGTTTTGTGTGATGTTTGTTTCAAAAGGAACTTGTTCATCACGAACTGAAATCAGTTTGGTGGCGAGTTGATTGATTGAAACTTGAAAATTGAAACTGAAAACGACTTGATTAAAACTTCTAGATATCAGTCTTAAACAAGCAGAAAGAGGAACGTGGTGAAATGGTTGATGCTCCGGATTTCGTTAGTCTCTTAGAATTTCGTGGACAGGATTTTCCTAATGAGTAAGTCCTCTCTATGCAAACTCATTTCTGATTTTTTTTCTGAAGGAACAATCGACCGCATATATGGCAGCCGGTTACTCACAATGAAGAGAAACGACGAAAATTTATCAAAACCTGTGGTTGACTGCCGCTTTCTGGCAGAGTTTAGCGTCGTTATCCAGAGCTCTTTTGCTAAGTACGCTGTGAAGTCTATATTCCCATACGTAGATTATCTCTAGGCAGATTCAAACGTTACACGATAGTAACTGGACTTCGCGACTGCCATTCGATATCCTAGCAACTTCCGTCCAGATAGTCGCCTCGCAGAAATTGTGAAGAGGTACCTGTTGTGTAGTTTAATCAATTTGTTATCGTTTTCTAAATTTACGAATTGATCACACATACAATCGAAAAAGATCGCGGACACAATCTGAAAATGAAATTATTGTTAATCACTGTCGCACCCAATGCATTCTTTCTTCCATTCAAAATTAGATTTGGCCATACTTTACTAATGCTGTGTTATAAGTGTTATCCTGTTACCCTTGTTACCAGTGGTACCAGTCTTATGTTACCAGTGTTACTGTTGTTACCAGTGTTACCGGTACCAGGTAACCTGGTAACAGTTCTACAACATCAGTAACTCTAGTAACACTGGTACACGGCATCGCTGCTACCTCTGTTACTGCTCTTCATGGGTAAAACGGGACAACCGAGTAATTTATGGCTTGACTCCATAGAATTTTTCATTTTTTGACCCATGCCAATTTCAACCCGATCTCGGCATGATCATCCTTTCAATGAACATGTTTTAGGCACTGGTTCTTCCACTATGGACCTCCTTCCGCGAAGGCTGATTTCTCTCCGCACATTTTCGCTCCCAGCCTGACTACCAAATCAGTTGCTGATGCCTGCCGTGTAGACCCTGCCGGTAAGTTGTAGCATTCTCTGTGTATGACTTTCATGATTTGATTTGATTATTTTCGCAGAGATCATATACATATCATGGCGTGCAAAACAATTCTTGCCCGAGGTTCCCTTCAAACGTCAGAGCTGTAGTCCTGTGTGCGAGTAACGACTACCAGCCATGGTCAAGCAGCGTTTCTACGGCGTCAAAAGACAACATTACTGCGTACAGGATACCTTTGGAACGTTACGTCAGGTGGTTATTTGAATTTCGTTCATCTTCTCGGATTTTGCTGTGGGATCATCTAGTAGATTTTATCTCTTAGGTTCGAAAGAATAACTAAGGTGCTTTCTCTGAGCTCTTCTTCTTCTATTCTGCGGCCCTATTTCCGAGGTGACGATCTTGGCCCCGCAATTCGCAAAGCATTTGTCAGTCCAAAAACGACAGAGTACAGAGTTTTGAGGTGAGCCATTCTGCTAACAAAGGAAGGGAAGTTAAATGTAAGTCTACATCTAAGTTACCTCTACCATTCTTATCGCTCAGTGTTGTGTGAGAGTGCGATAAAGGAAATGCAGTGGAAGGCAATGCAAGTAGGAAGTATGTGTGACACTGTTATTGGAGGTCATATACTACGTTGCTACGTAAGTTTTGTCCGTTTTTTTTGTTTATTTGTGTTCGAAGCACCCGTTTTGAGGTATTTTCGCGTCTAGTGCGGTATGTCAGTGTCATCAAGAAATGTCCCCTATCTGATGAACGTCAAATCTCAATAGAATTTTCGCTGAAGATGGCCGCAATCTAGCGTAGAAAATAAGTTTTTAGAAATTCTTCACAGCTTGTTGGTGAAATCAGCCGAGTTGCTCCGTCACCGAAAAAGGCCAACATATGCACAAATTTAGTTTCGTGTGACAATCATAATGCATACAAAATTTTGATGCCAAATCCTATTGCTGTTAATGATTGTTCTATGAGCCACAACACTCTGTGAGGGAAAATTGATGAACTTTTTAGAGTCTAGAGTAAGGCAAGAGCAAGCGGGGCCCACCCACCAGTTAACTCTTCACCGCTCTCGACAGTAAAAACAATCACTGATAAAAATACGTTAATGAGTTGCTAGAGTGATCAAAAAGCACTCTTTTTCTATGTTGTTCAAAAATTGTTCAAACTCTTCCAAACTCCTCGCGTATATCGACCTCCTTTTATTGTCGAAAAGCAGAAGTTCGCATTGAAAAAACGACACATTGATAAGCTCAAGGTTCTTGTCCCTAATTTCTTTTTAAAATGTCTGGTTCTTACAAAAAAGTATTTCCAGGAGCGTGAATCTGACAGTAATTACAGTTGGTCGGACCTTATGGGAAGCGGTGTGGTAGAGCTTATTGGCACTATGGAAGAAGGTAAGTGTTAGCGTCTTTGTCTCGATTATATAGAAGAAAAATCTATTTCAGAAACGGTCATGTTGGTCATGATCCCTGGAGATCTAAAAGCAGGCGCCTGCTGTGACACATATACCCACTGCGAGATTCATCCAGCAATGATACTTGGAGTCTGCGCCTCAATCATCCCATTTCCGGATCATAATCAAAGTCCGAGAAATACGTACCAAGTAAGTACCAGGCATCAGATTTCCTGTTCCTCCTATAAATTATCACAACTAAACCACTACTTTTCAGGGTGCTATGGGTAAGCTAGCTATGGGTGTTTATACTACGAATTTCCATGTTCGAATGGACACGCTTGCACATGTCTTGTTTACCCGCAAAAACCTCTGGTTACCACTAGATCAATGGAATATGTGAGGTTAGAACGTCGAAGCAGGTGTTCTTAATGTATTTGAACGCTTGCTTGACTATTCAATGAACTTCCGGCATCAATGCTATCGTCGCTATTCTTTCGTATAGTGGCCACAACCAAGAGGATTCCGTTATCATTAATCAATCAGCCATTGACAGAGGCTTTTTAGATCGGTTCGTTCAACGTTATCCCCTGACGCCATTTGTAAAACCATCGCTCAAGTGATTTATCGTTCTTACTGTGACCAAGAAGCCAACTTGGACGGTGGTAACAGGAGCTTATCAAAAAGCCAACGAGAGATATGCTCATTAATAAAACACTCACTTTACGATAAGGTAACTGTTAACTCAAAGTTAGATCCGGCATAAATGAGCAAGATTTAGTTGGACGATGACGGAATCATTATATCTGGAATGCGCGTGCCTGGATATTATGTGATTATTGGAAAGACAGTCGAGCCTCCTAAAGTTGTACGTCTTAAATCGGTCGGTACAGGCGTTTACATTCAAACTGTTTATAGCCAATCCCTTCATGGGCGTCATACTCTTTCTGATACTATTCCCGACTGGTACTCAATAATATCAGCAGCATCATAAAAGCACTAAGGAAGATTCAAACGCATCGACGGACATTTGTAAGTCATTTTTCCCCTTACAAGTTTTGCAACGTTTATTCGAATCAGTTTTCTGTTAGATAGATTGAACATTTCTCATTTTGCCCGTAAAAAAAGGACATTCTGACGTTGTGATTGGGATATATGACGCTTACGCTTATGCACCTCACTACCCATGGGGTCCACTTGCAGAAAGTGCGATTAGCTCAGCTCCTCTTTGATTGATCTCATTTTTGCAACGCCACCGTCTTCCCCTCCTAGTCTCCCTCCCTCTCCTCCCCGGCAACCTCCACAACATTTGTCGACATTTCATTTAAGCGATCACTTAAAAGAAACCTACGTGCGTGCTTATTCCGTGGAGGGAGGGAGCCTGTAAAGATAATTTTTATTCTTTTTTTAGAGCCAATTCTCGAGTCTTTCCAATTTAAAATAACCTTTCAACATTACAGAGAGCAAATACGCATTACTTCTTGGCTGATCCGGGCTTTCGGCGTATCACTGATTCTGTTTTTACCAAACCAGCAATCGTTCTAAGAATTTTCAACACTTATCGCGAAAAATGATACGTGTAACTATTACTGGGCTTTCGTTACGGTAACAGTTTTACAGTAGCTTGTTCTTCGCTTGTTCATTGATCGTCCACTCCACACAAGGTTTGCGAATAAGCTTGATTAAGATTAAGTAGCTGGAATGGCGAGTTTCTCTCACAATTAAGCTATTTATACTAATTGAGCTATAAGAATCTGAATAGCAGTAGATCAAGCAAATTTATTGAGAATAAAAAGCAATCTGGGATTCTTCGAAGATGATCCTAGTTGGTCTTCTCACTGATGAATCGTGACATTTTTCGGCAATATCTTAAAATGTATGTAGATACCGAGAATCATCGAATATAAGCAGTCTCATTTGAAAATTTTCAGTACCTGATTAATTGAGATGTAGTGACAACTTTGTTTTCTATTGTTTTTTTGAATCTATCCATATGCTGCATGATTTTGTCCCTTCTCATTTGGTATCTTTTTTCACGGAACTTCGGCGTACCCAGCTGGAACAAACGCCCGTATCATCTATTCGAAATTCATAAATTGCTACCTTTTCAGCAGATATGAGGTTGGCCATTGCGTTTTTATTTTCTTTTTTTAGCCTTTCTAAGACAGCCTCCAAGTTAGAGTTTCGTCGTGAAAAAAATCTTCGCAGCTTACTAATTAGTTCTTTCATCCTTTTTTTTTTGAGAACAAAAATTCTCCCAACCTATGATAAGATTCTGCCACATTTGTCGTCCTTAGGGTCGATACTCCCCATTTGCACCAGTACTTTCGATAAGATTTCTTCATCCACGTGTTGAAGAGATAGTCTAGGAATTGTTCACATGCCTCATATGCAGGATGGCCTACTGGGACGCTTGGTCTGTATAAGCCGGGGATTCTCCGTAAATATTTTTCAGGCAGGAACGGTATTCCTCTTATCGTGCGGTACCACTTCCTAACTTCCCTGCAGTAACATCTTCCCTTTACATACTTCGTCAAACCTAGCGCATTTCTGCGCCTGCTCCAGGCTTGACTCAGATGGAAGAGACAGCCTTCGATGATGAATTACAAAACTGTCCTTCCGCCGCCCTTATTGCGACTGCCTCAAAGTCCAAAATAATTCTCGCTGGCTGCATGTTGGGATCGATAGATTCTAATTCCTGCCGCACTCTCGCAAAGACTAAGTCGTAAGTTTCCTGCAACTTATTGCGCATCAAAGCGTAAAATAGTGGGACCTGAAAAGGTCTGTGTAAACACTTGTGTATTTGTAGACCAATCCCTATTTCCTAACTTGATGTTCGTTTGATAGGCATCCGTGTATCGTATAGAGTTGGGCGTGATCGCCCAACTCTGTCGGTAGAATCTTATAGATCCCATCCATAACGAGTGCTTTTAGCCCCTGTTGACACGCCATCTGTAATTCCAATTCCTTTCATGTGTCTGTTATTTTGAAGTCCTTTTTCATTATAAGTCTACGTAGTAGCCACTTTGCTGTTGGTTATACAGGAATACTTTAATAACTGAGTTTACCAAGAACCATAGAAAGCAACCAAGAAAGATATTTGTGCTGTCATAATTACTCACTTTCACTGTCTGGCTTGAGAAGTAGATGTGATATGTCGGCGCCAATTCTTGGAGGAACTTGGTACCATTTTCAAATGCGTATCTTTCGGGTATGAAGTTCCAGGTAGCCGCATGTGTGACATGGGACGCCTTTGCTCTAAAGCAGTAGAAGTTTGATTGAATCTAGTTTTGCAAAGACCTATCCTGACCGCTCAATGCTTTTTCTTCGGGTGGCGAGCCCATTTTTATAGAAATGCGCCACGATTTCATCGGATGAGTTAGGTTCATTCATGGCCGAGTGAAGTGCATTTTCCCAAGCCTCTATTACCGGAATAGAAGCCAATTCTGGAACGTGTCGAATGTTTTGGCACGCCTGGAACATTGAGACTTTGTTAAACATTGTCCGGATAATTTATTGGGGTATCACCCTAACATTATTCACAAAGACATTGATCTTGAGATCTACCTCATACATTATCCGATTTGCCCTGTCGGCGGAGGCATTGATAACGTTGCACACATGGTTTAAACAAGGGTTATCAAGAATCTCATTGTCTACTACCTGAAATACTTGAGCTCAAAGGAGAGGCTAAAGGTTTTTTCTATCTATTTTCATATTTACACCAATTTTAACATCTACACACTTCAGATGAGGCAATTTTGAACATAAACGTAAAGGAGAATAAGACTAATGACATACTTACACGGATGACCATGTGATGTTTGCTTCTTTTACATTCGCGACATGCGAACACTTCATAATTTTTGTTCCTTCGTTGGAGTAAGAAGATATATGCCGCTTTTGTGCAGGGGATCGTGTAACGGATGACTTCATTTTTTCCTTTTTGGCTTTTTTGGCGCTCACCGAGGAAGCGCTGTGACCCGGCGATTGCTTTATCTTCGGCCATTAACAAAGAATGAGTATCACTGATTTTAGATGGTTGATAAGGACGGAAAAGATCAACGTGGAAGAGTTGGAACACATCTAGCATGTCAAAACAAAGCATTACTGATTCAGTTCAAGTCGCAAAACTAAAATGTATCGTAGAATACAAGAAATTAATTGGAAACTTATAGATTTAAGATCAGGACTACATATTCGAAGGGGTGGGTGGGAAGTGGAGCCGTATCCGGCTTATATACAGGGTGTCCCAAAAAAATGTGAACACTTTTTTATTGTTAATAACCTTCTTGCTTTCATGTCTTCGCCAAGCTTGAGGCACCATTCTATAGAGTGAGGCTCAACTTAGGCTTACAGTATGGAGCGAATCGTCGATTGCTCTTCATTACTGTAGGATTACGGTAGGAACTTTGAGAAGGATTTTAGGCCATTGGAGGCCAATTTATGCCTCTGAACAAAACCAAACAAGTTAAAAACTCTTACACTATGGTAATGGAAGCCGCTGATTTCGAGTATGAAATTTCCGCTTTACTGTGATGCTTCTTTCCAAGGTTATCCCAGGTAAATCGTGGTAACTGAATTTCCAGCATTTGTCAGAAAAGTGATTACATCGTCAAAAAAGCTAAAAACACTTATAAAAAGTTGTGTAATGGAATCAGCGTGCGCGAAAACCCTAGTACACAATTTTTCAGATTTTTTTGAAGAATTGTGCCAAATGGCATATTTCACAATACATCCACATGCTAGAAGTTCAAACCGTAATTCTAAAATAAAGAACACCGACCGGTGGTTCGCTCCATACACAATTCTAAGTTGAACCTCGCTCCACAGAATGGTGCCTCAAGCTCGGCGAAAGACATGAAAGCAACGGAGTTATTAACGATCAAGCAGTGTTCACATTTTTTGGGACACCCTGTATTTACCAGTGCGTCACCTTTGCTTCGCAGAGGCTTGCACTGGTCAGACTCGTCACTGGACAGACACACTCAGAAGAACACGTAAACATCCTTAGCTCGTAATTATAAATTATGATAAGAAATTTCAAGAGATTAACATCGTATAACTGGCACACACTCAGCATCTCAATAAACTGTAGTCTTGATCCTAAGTCTATAAGCTCCCTATGATGACTCTATGAGCTCTTCTGTAATCTACGATATACTTTAGTTTTCGGCTCGAACTAAACCCGTTGCTTTATTTTGGCACGCTAAATGTGTTTCCTTTTCACAACCTTTTGCAATGCTTCGTTCGCATCCTCGCGAATAAAGGCATTTGAAACATCACCAGCCTGGTTGATGAGGGTTAGACAAAGCTAAAATGTATAAATCTGATTCCATTTCCGAGAATCGCTCTACAATGCACAGCATGTGTGATCACTATTTTTCGAGAACATTGTAATTCCTGCTACGAATAGAGGCGTTCTCATGAGTTTTTCCCCACCACATGATGTACCCCTTCATCACTTACAATTATTGAGTGCAAAACACCTACGATTCGTTCTGAGAAGAAAATGCACAACTTTTCCTGAGATTTCCGATTAAGGTCCTGACGAACTCTGACCAATGACCAGTAATCGATAAAAATACTTTGTTTTAACATGCTAGATGTGATCCAACTCTTGCACGTTGATGTTTTCCGTCCTTATCAGCTATCTTAAATCAGTGGTACTCATTCTTTATTAATGACCGAACAGAA